CGGTAAGAAAAACATACAGTGGAGTACGGTGCAAGCTTCACGAATCACATGTGGAGAGTTGATTACCGTAAACCAGCGACCCATCATCCTGGCTACATCAACATTTTCAGCTGCTGGATGAACGGCTCTGAAATTATAAGCTGCCATCAGCGGATTATAGTCAAAAGGATTGCCTTTTTACCTGAACACATCCTTAGCCAGGTTCTTTGCCGAGTCCTTAGGCAAAATCCTACTTATTGAGGAACCTAGGAGCGTATTAGCTGGTGGGATCATTTGTGGGAAGAGTTGTCCTACCTAAAGTGAATTTTGCGTCAGCTTTTCATTTCAGGGTTTGCAGAAAAACCTACCAAATAGTTGAAGTTGCTCAATCCAGGTATGGTATTTACTCCAGGAATTTCTGGTACATCCTGCGGTCCAGGATACCCAGGTACGGGAATAGGTGCCAGTCCAGGAATCTGTCCAGAAGCTATACCCTGCAGATCAACGCGATTCGCATTCGCCTCAGCAATTACTGCGTTGAGATCGTCCGTCTAGATCAATATAAATAAAATATTTTCTTTGAGCACATCCTTGATTTTTCTTACCTGGTACATAGCACTAGGAACTGGTGCTCGTCTTACTTGCTTGTCATCTTTCGTGGAAAATCCTAACCTATTCAGTATGGATTCGGCTACCTCTCCTACTTTTACTAAGTCAGGTTTGGATGTTCCTGCAGCAGCTACAGCAGCCATTTCGCCCTGAAAATGATTGTATTACGGTATGTTCCAGGGTTTGTTTAAACTTGTATATTCGCAGCAAAAGGCAATGTTCCAGTTTCCGCTGGTCGCGCTCTATTTCGAGCGATTTCACTTCGCTGCGGTTAAACTATGTTTACGATGTGGAAGGAGGTGATATTCGGATAGTTCGGAAGAGAACGAATTAGATAAGGTTCGATTACTTTTTTCCTGTGTAGGGGGGGGGGACTTTCACTCTGCGATAAGGATCACAAATAGGTTAAGGTATAGACAATTTGCGCGCGAAAGATGGCAGCGTGCGCGATATGGCAACTTACGCGCAAGTTGCAAGCATTCGCCGGCATTTACGAGTGTGGCATTCGTTCCCGCGCAAATGTTGCCTTCACCGCAATGGCACTATTAGCTGAAATTTTTACTGGACAGTATACAGCACCTGCTTGGTGAGAGTTGCTTCGTTAGAGAAACTCTGGAAGGACGGCGCTTCTTGAACGGGTACGGCCTGGACAACAGAAACGACGACGACGAAGAGCGTGGAGACGAGCGTGACGAGGCGACGCATCGTGGACACCGTTGCAATGAACACGGGGGCTCGTGGACTGGGATGTGCGTGTGTCACAAGCGATAGCGTGCGGATCGACGGGGGCCGTACCGTCCGAGGAGGCCTACATTTTCCAACGTTTCACTCCCAATTCGCGCAGCATTCAACATACGCACACATACATAGCACGCATGCCCCAACATCAATACGTTGACCTGAAAACGATCAAGTAGTTCATTTTGCCCCGCTAATGCGAACGATGCCGCTATGATGGCGACGACACTCGCGGAGATTGTTGATATCGTTGAGTGGGGTGAAGTATCTTAAGAACTAGCACGGCACTTCTGATCCAAAACGATGATGACTTTGAACTTACAATTTTCACTTACCTTATTCAGACATTAGGAATTACCTGAAACAGTACCTGAAGGGAATGGTGACTTAAAAG